GGGACTTGAGCTAATTAATAAAGATTATATATTCTGTTTAACAATTATGGGACTAGAGCTAATTAATAAAGATTATATATTCTGTTTAGCAATTATGGGACTTGAGCTAATTAATAAAGATTATACTTTTGTTAGCAATTATGGGACTAGAGCTAATTAATAAAGATTATACTTTGGTAAGCAATTATGGGACTTTAGCTAATTAATAAAGATTATACTTTGGTTAGCAATTATTGGACTTGAGCTACGTTAAAAAATATTATAATTTGGTTAGCAATTATGGGACTTGAGCTACGTAAAAAAGATTATAATTTGGTCAGGAATAACGGGAGTTGAGTTAATTAATAAAGATTATACTTTGGATAGCAATTATGGGACATGAGCTATTTGGTAAAGATTATACTTTGGTTAGCAATTATAGGACTTGAGCTAATTAATAAAGATTATACTTTGGTTAGCAATTATGTGACTCGAGCTAATTAATAAAGATTATATATTCTGTTTAGCAATTATGGGACTTGAGCTAATTAATAAAGATTATATATTCTGTTTAACAATTATGGGACTTGAGCTAATTAATAAAGATTATACTTTGGTTAGCAATTATGGGAATTGAACTAATTAATAAAGATTATACTTTGGTTAGAAATTATGGGACCTGAGCTAATTAATAAAGATAATACTTTGCATAGCAATTATGGGACTTGAGCTAATTAATAAAGATTATACTTTGATAAGCAATTATGGGACTTGAGCTAATTAATAAAGATTATACTTTGGTTAGCAATTATGACTTGAGCTACGTAAAAAAGATTATAATTTGGTCAGGAATAACGGGAGTTGAGCTAATTAATAAAGATTATACTTTGGATAGCAATTATGGGACTTGAGCTAATAAATAAAGATTATACTTTGGATAGCAATTATGTGACTTGAGCTATTTAGTAAAGATTATACTTTGGTTAGCAATTATGGGAATTAAGCTAATTAATAAAGATTATACTTTGGTTAGCAATTATTGGACTTGAGCTAATTAATAAACATAATATATTCTGTTTAGCAATGAGGCAATAAAAGTAGAACTAAGGATCGGAAGATAGTTCATTTATATTTTATTTTGACGGATTCAGACAGCTATGAAACTAACTAAATTGAAAAACTGTTAAAAATGAGGAAGAAGAGTAATTATTTTATATTTCTAAATTAAAGGAAGGCCGGACCTGTGCACGTTTCTTCTTAACAATATAATGGTCTATCGGAAGACGTCTCCGAGACTCCGACTGTACGTCCTAAATATCTTTCTTCCGGAAAAGTTTATACAATGAGACATCTAGCTTTCTTAAACTATCGTCCTAAAAGTACGTCATTTGGGCGAACCTTGTCCATACATGCGTTGGGAAGGAACAAACTCTGTGAACATTCACTGTTTAATAAACGTTTTGTGATTACAAAAAAGCTGGTTCTAGAGCTGTGCTAATACGTTAAATTATGATAAAACTTTAAAATCTCTTTAATTTTGAAAAGTACCTTACAATACAATATGTGTTTTTTAATTAATTGTCGTTGATAAAATTAGAATGTAAAAAACACTTTCTTCATCTCCTTAGTTCTGTCTTTCCTTGGTCACTGGTTAGTTGGTTGAACACAGACTACACAGACTGCTCATACACTCTACCAGGATAGGCTGAGCAGAGCCATGTAATGTTTTTTGACTGACATCTCACGGCCATTTGTTGCGTTCAGGGGTTAAATTTAACAACTTTTAAAGAAATACTCCATTTTAAACATAAAATATAACGTTTATGAATATTGTCTATTTTTAAATATTTTGTATTTCCTATTCAAAGGATCCTTAAATATCCCTGAATACAGATGTCGAGTCTCCTGATTGGTCGTGTACAGTCATTGTACACAATAGAACATGCTGTGGAAAAAATCGCATATTATAGGTGTTAATCGATCTCTGTAACTCTCTTATCTCTGGTTAGTAAAATGTTTACATTGCACTTTACATATGTAATTGTACTTTATAACTTGACGCATTAATCGTAGTACATATGTACAGAGTATGAAAGGTTTGAAATTAATACAGTTATCTCTGAATGTTCGTCTCTGAAATTTAGCACGTTCAAGTATGACGTTTTGTGAATTATTTATGTTAGCAGCTTTAATTAAGAAAATGCTTAAAAATACATTGATATAAAATTAGATAGAAACAATGTGGGGTTTGGGGAATTGGAAGGATTGAAGCTTGCAAAGATTAAATAATAAATAGATTTTCCAGTTTAAAAAACAGATCATCTCGGAGACTCGGATATTTATGTAGTGTATAATAATTGGTACTTTGAAGTGTTTAGTGTATACTTAAAAACACAGTTGTAAATGAACAAATGAATTTTACAAATCTGAAGAGAATGTAAACTAAAGTTTATAACTAACCATATATTACAGGGTGAGTGGAGAGAAGGTGGCTACTATGAATACTGTGATGCACAACTACCCAACAGCCTTGAGGTTGAAGACTGTGTTGACGGTGAGATCGAGGCTGCTGTCCTCCCTTCCACCCAAGAATATGCTGCAGAGGAGATGGTGCACAACAACAACTGGCAGGTTGGACAAATCAGCTGTTTGAAAGGGATTCTTCTCTCTTTTTCTTTCTTTAAAGGAATTTTTTTGCTTGCGCAATTTTGAAATTACTAAGAATAGGTTGCATAAAATGATATTAGGATTTATTACATCTGAGTACAGACTAAAGGTACTGAAAAGTTTACAAAAAGTATTTACTATTTGATTCTTATTTAGAAGTAGTTGACACCATTTTTATTCTTCTCTTCAATCAGATGTTTTAAAAACCAGTATTTAGTATAAAAACTAGTTTTTTATTGGTACAATCATTTTTTTTAAACTGTTAATGTTTGATAAATTGATGATAAAATCCCTCTATACGCAGGGCTAACCGAAAAGATTGAGACTTTTACAACGACCAAGATCTTTTTCCTGATAAAAGTATTACAGTAAAATTTGGTCTTCTTAATTTAGTTAAATTTTTTTAATGACAATTATTTATTGTAAATAAAATAAATACAGTTTTTTTTCTGAAGTCTAATTCTTTGTGGATAACCTTGTAATTACTTTTTATTGTAGGTCACATATATTTACTGTTAAATTTGTCTAGCCTACTTTCATATTTAATAATCAGAAAATTACCTTTACCTAGATACTTCAACAGCAGCTTATTTTCTTTTTTTTACTTATCTAATTGCCTTAATATTTATTTGTACTTAAATATAAGAAATGTTTCTTTTTGTAAAAAAGGACGTAATTTTTTACTAATTTATAATTTAGACGTTACTCTGCAAACACCCTTGGATTAGCTTTGAGCCAAACTAACTCCAACAACTCCTTCTCCCAGGCCCTGCTCAACATGAACAACTCTGTTGACCACGGTATGCGTCACTCCCCGTTCTTGACCAGGGATGAGCTGGTTAACGCTAAACGTGTTGTGATTAAGCTTGGATCAGCTGTTGTAACACGTGCTGATGGACAGGGACTGGCCTTGGGCAGGCTGGCAGCAATCATAGAACAGGTTTCAGAGATACAAAACTCAGGCGCTGAGTGTATACTGGTTACTAGTGGCGCTGTTGCTTTTGGTAAGCAGCGTCTTTCTCAAGAGCTCTTGATGTCAATGTCCATGAGAGAGACATTGTCAAGTGTGGATCGGTCCTCAGAGTTGAAAAATATTGCCCAGCATGAGTTAAAGCGACCTAATGCAGCAGTCGGTCAGAGTGGTCTCATGGCCCTATATGAGGCTATGTTCCGTAACTATGGTATTCTGGTTGGCCAAGTTCTAGTGACGAAACAGGACTTCAGGAATGAGAATACCCGTGAGCAGCTCTTCAACACCATCAGGGAGCTGATGGCTCTCAACATCATACCCGTGATCAATACCAACGACGCTGTATCTCCTCCTCCTCAAGATGGAGATCTTGGAGATGGAACTCTAAACATCACTGATAACGATAGCCTGGCCTGTACTATTGCAGTGGATGCTGGAGCTGACCTGGCAATCCTTATGTCCGACGTTGAAGGTATTTACAACAAACCTCCGAAGGAGGAAGGAGCCCAGCTCCTGCCCTATTTCAACCCCAAAATTGTAAATCAGATCCAGTACGGGGAGAAATCTAACTACGGAACTGGTGGCATGGAGTCCAAGGTTAAAGCTGCTTGCTATGCTCTGGAACATGGATGCAGTGTTGTTATCTGCAGCGGAATGAAGTATAACACCATAAGGTAAGATATATCAGCTTTATGTCAATTTTGTATACCTTGTTATTATTTTTAAAATTCTGATTTTAACATTTCTGAATTTTCTAGGAACATCATGTCAGCAGAGAATGTTGGAACTATGTTCACACCTCTTGAAATTGAAGGAACTACAGTTGAAATTCAGGCACAAAATGCCAGGTAAAAACTTAAGCATTTCTTTCTCATAGCAATAGTTTCTATTATTTGATATATTTAGAAAAGGAAGCCGCAGGCTAAGTTCTCTAGCTCCAGAGGAGAGAGCCGAGGCTATCAGGCATCTCTCCAACTCCTTGTTAACCCATCAGGCGGAGATCATGGAGGCAAACAACCAGGATTTGGCCAATGCTAGAGCTCATGGTGTGACTGGACCCATGTTCGATCGTCTAGCGCTGTCCAGCAGTAAGCTTGAATCCCTGTGTGTAGGATTGAATCAAATTGCTGATTCAAGCTATGACAATGTTGGCAGGGTTTTGAAAAGAACAAAGATCTCCGAGACTCTTGAGGTTGTTCAGGAAACTGTTCCTATTGGAGTCCTTATGGTCATCTTTGAATCCCGCCCTGATGCCCTTCCTCAGATCGCAGCTCTGGCTATCGCTAGTGCTAACGGTCTGCTGTTGAAGGGAGGGAAGGAAGCTACCAACAGTAACCGTGTACTCATCAGGCTTGTTAATGAAGCCCTGGGTAGATATGGCTGTGCTGATGCCATAACTCTGGTATCTGGCAGAAATGAGGTGTCTGAGCTTCTCAAGCTAGACGGCTACATCGACCTCATCATCCCCCGGGGCTCCAACGAGCTGGTCAGATCGATCAAGGAGAGATCTAAATCTATTCCTGTTCTTGGACATGCTGATGGTATCTGCCATGTGTACCTGGATTCAGACTGTGATGTGGAGAAGGCAATCAAGATTGTTGTTGATGCTAAGACGGATTATCCTGCAGCCTGTAACGCCATGGAGACTCTTCTGATTCATGAATCTCTTCTTGAGAATGAAGTTTTTTACAAGGTAAGAAATACACTATTTATTATCATTCTCAAACGAATTTTCCATTCTCCTTTGATTTAGGTTTGCCAGGCGTTGAAGCAGGAAAATGTTAAGATCTACTCTGGCCCCAGGCTTTCTGAAACATTGACCTTTGGACCACCAAAGGTATTACAAATTTAAGCATAACAAATCAGGGGCGTACGAGGGCTTTTGTTTAAGGGGGGGGCACAAAAAAATTTTTTTGGTTCCTTCCCTTTGGGCACCATTGTGCCCCCCTTAAAAACCCCTTTTTTGAAAAAATATTGATACTTTTTTAAAATTTTTTGTTGCCCCCCCCTCCCATAAAAATACACCAAAAAGACTACATTTTGGGTGTTACTAACCTTAAAGAGTCTAAAAATTATTCCTTTGCTTGAAAAACTAACTTTTTAACTTTATAAATTTATCACTTAACTCCATCAGAGCTAACTAAATCAATAATCACAGCATCATTAAAAATTATATTTTTACTAATAAACGAAATTTCTTCTGAAATTTTTAGATAGAATTTACTCAATCTACATATACACCAACTCTTTTAAGCTACAATTTTCTGGGATTTGCTTGCACAAACATTTCAATGATTTTTTTAGTAGAGAGCTCAGACAGCCTTATAGGGTGTAAAGATCGTTAAGTCTGCTCTCCGTCATAGTACATCTTGTGTAATTAAGTCTTCTCTTTAGAAGGCTAAAACTTTGCTCTCCTTATTCCTTGTATTAACAGTGAATTTAGACAAATCCTTAGTCTTTGTCATTGTCAGGTGTTACTTTCTAAACGTAGTTTCCTTTTAATTTTGTATTTTCCAGGGTGGGGGGCAGTGCCCCGCCTGGAACTCCCAGAGGGGGGCAAGAGGGCTACTGCCCCCCCTAGGTACGCCACTGTGCCTGGCCTGAGGAAGGGAAATGCAAGCAAATGTAATATTAGAAGAGTCTCCCCCATGGGGGGGGGGGGGGCTCGGCCCCCCCTCGTACGCCACTGTAGCAAATGTTTTCAAAAAATGTTATCAAAGTTTTATATTTAGGCGAGTAAATTAAGTATTGAATACGGAGATTTGGCCTGCACTATCGAGATAGTTTCCACCTTGGATGATGCTATTGATCATATTCATAAATATGGATCTTCTCATACTGACGTCATCGTGACAGAGAATCAGGACACTGCAGATAGATTTCTCAACAATGTGGACTCAGCCTGTGTATTCCACAACGTTAGTTCAAGGTACTGTATTCATATTTTTAAATTTTGATTTATAATACCAAAATTTTACAATGTGGCAAAAATATTTACTAACTAAACCAAGCAGAAAAAAATTGAATAAAAACACTTTGTTCTTGCGGCAAAAAGTTCTTATTCAAAGAAAAAGCACGAAAGCACTTTATTTGTTTGTCATGTAGACTTGTGTAATTTTTTGGTAAAGATTCTAAAGAGATACTTTACTTGAAGACTGTCAATATTGCCAGATTCTCATACAGACCCTTACCTTGGAATTAAGTCAATGAAGTGTTTTCATATTTGAATTTTATGAACATTTTTGCAGGTTTGCTGACGGATTCAGGTTAGGGTTAGGAGCTGAAGTTGGAATCTCCACGGGTAGAATACATGCTAGGGGCCCAGTAGGGGTAGAGGGGCTTCTCACCACCAAGTGGGTTCTCAGGGGCACCGATGATACCGCCGAGGAATATTCTAAGGGGCGCAAAGAGTTTATCCACAAGTCTCTTCCTCTAAATTAAGTCTATAAAATCTAAATCTCTATTTGTAATTCCAGGTTTTACATCTGTAGAATTGAATATTTATGTAAAATGTTCCGATATAAGGTATTTTTGTGAAAATACAATTTGATAAATAAATAAATGTCAAACATTGACAAGATTTTTACTAAACTGTCACTGAATTTAAAAAAGAGTAGACAAATTCGAAGTTTATTTTAGTTTTCGAATAGAGTTACATAAAGTAAACCCACGCCACATAATTAAATCAAATTTATAACAAAATTTTGTAAATTCTAGTAATTTTCACAATTCGAAAATAGGTGATTTTTTGGTAGTAACTTAAAGCAATATTGGAACTTTTGTTTTTTGGCAAAATGTTGACTCATTTCAAATCTTCAATATTTGAATATACCATTTAATCTTTGAATACAAACGTTTCAGAGTTTTACTTTTAAGATAAATATTCTTACAATTTAGATTTTGATCTCTGCGCAAAAATAATTGCCAGGTTTGGCACATTTGGCACGATTCAAAATATTCTGTTATTAGATCATCTGATATGAGAATGATTATTTCCTATTGAGTTAAGTTTGTCAAGGTGAATTTAAATTATATCTTATACAGTTTGATAAAAAGTGATTTTCCGGTTTCGATGTTTCCACGGAAAACGACTAAACTCCGAAATCTGGGAACCCTTGATAGAGAAGTTAATATAGAGTTACACATAAAGGATGAGACATCAGAGACGATTATATGGAATTTACATTGTCTGTTTCCTAATATTCAATACTTCCGGAAACTTTTTTTTATTTCTTTGCAAAAACATTAAATGAGCAATTTTTAAAGACTGTATTTAAAGCAGAGACGTGATTTAACCCAGGGAATTGGCATATTTGAATTTTTAGGTCGTCTTTTCACAATCATCATATGTGGACAGCCTTGTACATTTGATAAGATTCCATGCTCCTGAAACGTGAATAGATCGATAGATTTAGGCCGGTTTTAAGTATTTGTTTTTTTGCTACCCTGCAACATTTTTCCATTATTTTTAGTGCCCTCAATGTGTGTCATTGGAAATTTGGAACATTTGTTATAGAAGCTTTCATAAACACATGTAAAACACGTATTCTATACAATATTGATTCATCATTCTATAAAATATAAACATTATTCTAATTATGTATTAAATATTGCAGGGTTGACTAAACAGAATTAGATTTTTTACCATGAACTAGAAATCGTAAAAATATCACAATCCACGATCTGCGACAAATTGCAATGTTAAAAATGCTAATCAATTATTGTACAAAGAATGAAAAATGAGCCTATAGTGGCAATGCGAGTTATAAAATGAAGGAAAAATACCGAATAAAATCTGTCTCTAGAGTTTCATTGTTTGTGAATAACCCTGTACTTCTGTGTGGGTGTTCTGCCCTGAAGTTGAACAATTGTTGACATTTAAATGTTTCCCGTCAATACATACATTTAATATATTCCAGGTTTAAAAGAACGGATATACAGATTTAGGACAAAAAGATCTTTCAAAAATACGATCTACATTTATCTAGATCAAAACATTTTAGTTTTGTTATCTACGAAGAAATTCTGTTATTTTATTTTTTTATTTTAAATTAAGAGTTTTTCTACGCTTTTATACCTATTTATTTATTTCCTGGAGGGTATATGCTTTATTTTTGTAATGTGTATCAACAAATCTCTCCAATCANATATCCGTAAGTAGGTGTATATAATTAATTTTTATATAAAGCTGTTACCGGCCATGCAAATACTTCAGTCAAGCCTTTGCTTCCTCCTGCACCTGAACAGTAACGTTATCTAGATATATTATACTTTAATAAAGGGAAACTTTGCTAACTATTTATCTCAATAAAGGAAAACTTTGCTAAATAGATATCTGAATAAAGGAAAACTTTGCTAACTAGATATCTGAATAAAGGGAAACTTTGCTAAATATATATCTGAATAAAGGAAAACTTTGCTAACTAGATATCTGAATAAAGGAAAACTTTGCTAACTAGATATCTGAATAAAGGGAAACTTTGCTAACTAGATATCTGAATAAAGGGAAACTTTGCTAACTAGATATCTGAATAAAGGAAAACTTTGCTAACTAAATATCTGAATAAAGGGAAACTTTGCTAACTAGATATCTGAATAAAGGAAAACTTTGCTAACTAGATATCTTATTATTATTCAAATCTATTTAGTGATCAAAAAGTACAGAGCAAATAACAATAAACTTTATATATATATATATCAACGATATGTACATTTTGATTTTTCTTTGATTTTATTAAATGTGCAGACAAAAACAACAAAAAGGTATATCGGTAAAGATTAATAATATAAAAAACCAGTGCCAAAATAGCAACAATTTAAGTAGCAGCAATTTAAGAACTGGCAAAAACATAAAGGAAGTTTACAGGTAAGCATAATATTAAAAGGCAACATTTTTTGAGACGGATAGAGACAATTGCAGAGAGAGATGTTATTGAAGAACCAACAGCTTTGCACTATTGTTTCTTTTATAGAGTTAAAAACATTTGAAAGACAAAATTATAGTTTTGCATCAACAACATAGAGTTATAGCTTTGCACCATAAAAATAGAACGACTGTGGATAGAGCGGTAATTGTAGATCCAATAGCTTTGCACCATTGTTTCTTTTTAAGGATTAAAATTGTTAGAACCTGGTAAGTTCTGATAAACTCAAAATTAAATTTAAGAAACAGAATTGGAAGCTTAAATGATGGACAAATTTTGATAAATTTTAATAAAAACAAAATTCTGAAAAACTGATTCTGATAAACCCGAAATTCAATTTAAGAAACAGAAATGGAAGTTTAAATTACGGACAAATTCAGATAAATTTTGGTAAACTCAAAATTCTGAAAATCTCGAAATTCATTTTAAGCACTAAATTGGAGGCTTAAATGGCGGAAGAATTCCAATAAATTTGAATTAACTTGAGCTTTTGCTACACTCGAAATTCAATCCAAGAAATAGAAGAGGATAGTTCACCAATATCACATTTTCGTTCTGGAGATCATTGATTGTTGGTTTCTAGCGCTTTCATCTATCTGTCATAGTGCTTCCTCTTCCTGCTTTCTCTTTCCTTCTTTTCGATCACTAGAGCTAGAACTTTCGGAATATCTTTTGATTCGACTATTCCGTATAGAACCTTGAAAAACATCAGCACCGCCTTACCCATCCTCAATCTGGAGCTGTCGTTTAGGTGAACCATCTCGGTGTAGATCTTCTCTCTCCATTGTGGATCTCTGTACTTGGTACATATTTCCATCAGGTTTCAGGGCCCATAGAAGGAAGGATCTAGTTTCTTAGTTTTGAGACCCCAGGTGTGAAAAGTGGGTGCCTTGAAGGATTTAAGCCTAGGATCGCCGTGGTTAAGTTCTCTGATCATGTTGGTCAGTGTACTGAGAGTTTCGAACCTGTTGTCTTGAAGAACTCTTTCTTCATACGGGAGAACTGCTATTTTCGGTGGGAAGGGAGGAGTAGCTACGGAGAACGTAGATCTGCCTCCAGTTCCTGCTCTAGTCTTCATAGAGAGAACATCATTCTTGAATTTTTTAGATCTCGGATGATCTTTGTTGCATTTTTACCTCTCATTACATCGTTGACAGTTCCTACAACCAGAACATCAACCGGAGTGGAGCTGGAACCAAACTCTGCCATAAAAGCGTGATGGAGAATCCTTACAGTGCCTCCTGGTATACCAATCATATCAACATGGATGTCGTCGCCTGGGTATTCATTAACACTTCTATCTCCCTGCCAGTCATTCAGTAGACTGGAAGTCACCAAAACCGGTTGTCGGATACCAGTCTTGAACGAATGGAGTTGAGTCTTGCAAAAGGAACATGGATACACTCCCCACCTTCTTGGAGCGGAAGACATTCGCAATGATTTTGAAGAATTATGATTGTGGAAGATGACTTGGCTTTGTGGGAAGACAGAGGAAGAATATTCGGAACATATGGTGCAGTACTTCTTTCCTAGATGAAAATTTTTCTTCCTGATATCTCTGTAGTTCTTGACTTTGGATTTAACGAATGTAGCAAGCTCTGTAGATTTTCTTTTTCTACTAATCTCTTCAAGTATTTTCTCAGGGGAACTGTTCGGATCCAGATTCTCTCCTGGGTAAAGCGAGGTTCCGTAACCCGGAGGAATCGCTGGTGGGGGGCTGCTGAGGTCAGGTAGCTTAAACATGGAGCTTGTCCTCTCTCTTGGCTGCGGATAAGGGAGCTTGTGAACCGAGATACTCAGCTCCATCTGTAATATATGTAGGATTAATACCGGGAAAAGGCTGATTTTAAATCTCAAAAAATATTGCAATATTAGTAGCACAGGTTTTAAAATGATAAGTATAGGAAGTAGCATTTTAAGGATGGGCTTGTAAATCCAAGTTAAAAGAGTCTTCATTTAAGTAATTTAAACGTTTATCTTTATCAAATGCCATTTTGTTAATATAAATCTCATTCTTAAACCAAGAGTAAAAAGCGTTACTTGTTTAATTCTTTTTTAAGCATCTGAACCTCCAGATAAAGAGTTTGGTGTAAAGTGCCAGAAAATTATTAGGAGTATGTACAGGCAAATTACGTTCACCAAAGATAAAGTCTTTTTTGCTAGGTACCATGCGAATTCCTACCCATATTTGAGTAAAGAAATCATAGACTTCTGAGATAAAAGATCGCACTAAGGTGCAGTCATATAAGAGATGAGAAATGTTCTCTACATGGTTTCCTCAGAATGTGCAATTCTCACCGACATTATTTATAAATTTTGAGATAATCCTATTTGTTTTCAAGGTACCTCGAGTAACTTTGAATTGGAACCATTTTAGTCTATTGTCAAAAAAAAAGATTTTTATTCAATTTGTAGCATTTCTCCCAAAAGTGAATACCTTGCACTGCTTCCAGTTCTTCCTCCCATTTACGTTCTCTCAATAAAAGATTGCTGTTAGAATATTCAAGTGACTTCAAAAGTTTTGACCATTTATTGCATCCTTTTGATGAGTAAGAAATCAAGTTAAGCATTGGTGGCAAAATAGGGTAAATTAGAGGTAAACTTTCAACTGTAACCCCCAATCTTAGTAATGCAGATCTTATAATCGATATAAATGAAAATAAATCGGGTGGTTCATTGAATTTGTTGGAAAATTTGTCCTCCAGCATAAATCTAGTACCGTTTACAGTTTCAATTAGGATATCAGGTGGATAACGGACTAGTCTTCCAACATTGCCAAAGTTCCTTTTTGAGCAAATAGAGGAGTTCATAATAAATACGTTTGAACCCCAGATAGGATACGAAGTGAGATTTTCAGGAGCGTTTTTTAGGTGCTCCAGCATGAGAGGTTTAATTGAACGTAAGCATTCGCTCCAGAAAGGATTTGACAGTTTTTTACTCATTTTGTCATGGTCTACTGTTCCTACATTTGAGCAAAAATCATCTAAATTAAGATTTAAATTTTCTTCAATGTTTAAACTAAAGATATCTTTCCATGCTGAATGGCTATGCACCAGTCTTCTGAACCATGAAAATTTGAAAGAAGTCCAATTGGAGGAAATATCTGGAAAACCCAAGCCCCCTCTGCTTTCAGGTTGTTTTGCATCACCCCTAGCCACTTTCTCTTGACCCCCCCAGATAAAAGTGTATATTTCAGTTTCAATTTCTTTTAGTTTTTTCTTATTTATTCCGGGTAGTACAAAAGCTAGGTGAGAGAGTTTAGATAGTAATAGTGTTTTGGCTATGCATGCACGCCCCAGAGGGCTTATGAATCTGTACCGCCAATTTTTCATGATTGCTCGAATCTCCCCTAACTTTTCATAAAAATTAACGTCCATATTTTCAAGTAAACCGTCAAACTGTATACCCAGCAACTTAAAATTTTGATCCCAGCGTATTGAAATATGGTTGCATAGTTTATACTCTCCATTAGGAATAAGCCCAAAGACGACACATTGCGTTTTATTAAGATGTATTTGTAGGCCTGATACTTTAAAAAACTCATCTATAACTGTAATTGTGTTTTCAAGGTTATTTGAGTCATATTCTAGAAATATTGAACAATCGTCTGCGTAAAGAGATAAAAGTATTTCGAGTGTGTCTAGTTTAAAACCTTTAATATTCTGATCCGTTCTCATTTTAATGCAAAGAATTTCTATGGACAGTACAAAAAGGGCTGCTGCAATAGGGTCACCTTGTCTACATCCTCTGGAGATATCAAAAAGCTTTGATATATTACCTGCATGTTTTATACAAGCTTTAAAATTATTTAATAGAATGTTAATCCATTTTATATAATTATTTCCAAATCCAAAATAAAGAAGAGTATTGAGAATAAATTTAAATGAGATACAATCATAGGCTTTTCTAAAGTCAATAAGTAACAGCAGTCCAGTTTTCTTCTTATTTTTTGCCCATTCCATAATGTCAAAGGTGTTGCGAATGCAGTCCCCTATTTATCTACCATTGACGAACCCTGATTGATCCTTATTTATGATGGAAGGCAGAACGAGGTTAAGTCTGTTAGCAAGGGCTGCACTCAAGAGTTTATAAACACTATTTTGTAAAGTAATAGGTCTCCAGTTTTCTAATAGGTGTTTTGGCTTGTTTCTCTTAGGCAGTAAAGAAATTATTTCAACGGCTTGGGAACTTGGCAGTTTTCCAATTGTAAAACTAAAAGAAACTGCTCTATAAATAATCCCTCCCATGATTTTCCAGAAACATTTATAGAATGCATATGTGAAACCAGAGGAACCTGGAGTCGATTCATTTTTAGACTTTTT